TTTTTTCATTATTGCTATTTCTACTATAGATATAAGTATTATTGTTTTATTGTTACAGGTATTCAGGCTGTGTTTATAAGTTTGATTTCCTTGCCTGTGTGGTTGCTATTTGTGTTCAAATGCATCAATGGTTAGCTAAATGGTATACATATATTGATGTAAATGTCTCAGACAAATGTATCTCAACCTTTGTAAAAGATGCTCCATGTTTCAAGGCACTGCAGTGCTATACAAATTTATGTCCCATATAACCTCCCTTATTCTTGCACAGGCATTCAATTATAATTATATCCAGAGGAAGATGCCTAGAACTTTCTTGTTTCCTACTTGGATATGTACATAAGTTGAGCCCCGAGTGTGATTCTGATTCCTCAGGAGTAAGCTATAGCACATCAGTATTATTAGGTACTTCTGTGATGGTATACCTTGATTGTCAAACTGGCTGATTTAGTGACAACCAGGAGCTTTTCAGACCATATCCTGGATAAGGGGGCCTTCCCAGAACTGACTGGAAATCTGAGAGGAAAACTCTAATTCTGTTTTTGGGTGCCAACGTCCAGTGGATTGCAGCCCACATGAAATGACGAGTGAAGAGGAATGTTGACTGCACTAGAAAGCCTGATTCTTCTTCAGTGCATGTGTTTTTTGTTCCTTTGGTTAATTGTAAACATCAAATTTAATCTTCAGACATTCAGTGCAGTTGCATGCAAGTGACTTTGCAGGTAGACATGCAACTCCGAATCTCTAAGGTTTTTCCAAACCTTCAGCCTCAGAAAGATTCTACAACATTGGTCTCGTTCATGGAGGGTTTTCAGCACCTTAAACTGAGCAACTGCTGGGTTCTGTGGATCTCCATTGTCCTGGTGATCATTGTCTTGAAAAATTTAAATCAAGTAAAAGCTGTTTCATAAATTTTTAGATAAATAGACAGATAGATAGATACTGTTAAATACCATTCAACCTTCTCATTTAGAGGATTCTAACCAATAGAGCTTTTCAAATGTCAGTTTTTGGTTAGTCTGTACTGGTTTGGTTAGACTCTTGTTTGGTCTCTCTGTAATCACTGGCTTAGCCAGTTATAATGTTCATTGATCCTGCTGCTTAATATTAAAAACACATTGAAGTTACAGAAGCTCAGACAAATAAACATCAATTCACTAAAATAAGACAAAAGCCTACAATGAGTCTTCTCCATGAGCAGCCATAAAGGTCACATAAAGACCTGTATCTGGTGTGGGAGTTATCTGGGCAGTGCAAACCTGTTATTGGCTGCTTGAAAACCATATTCTTGGTTTGTATACCTGCTCTGGACTTTCAAGGCATCCATGCCACTATCAAGAAAGCAATAATAATGAACAAGAGAGAAAACTGCATAAAGCAAATGGTTATGAGACTGTAATCTACCATTGTTTTTAATAGTCATCAGACTGCTGAAAAACTTCTGTATTTGTCCAGATATCTCAAAATGTTGAGTAGACAATTTCCTTTACTACATGCTTCATTGCTTGTATGTTGGAACAGATTACCTAAGACCCTCACTAAACCCCCAGCAATGTTTCTATGGGCTTTTCTTTTCTTTTATGAATTTAGGGCAGGGTCCACAGGATGTACAAGGTCACACTATGTAGATGAGACTCATAGTGATTCTCTTGTTTTCAGCCTCCCAAGTGCTTGGATTACAGGCCTGCAACACCACGACCAGTCTCAATCTCCCTCTCAGCATGCCCTGGGGGTGGGGCTGGCACGGCATGTTGGGGATTGAACCCTCGTCACTGAGCTCTGCAAAAGCAGGCACTTCAGTCCACTGAGCTATCTTGCCGGCTCTGTGCTCCTCTTTTAAAAATGGCAACAATAAAATATCTCAAAGTTCAGGATTGGGACTATCCAGGAGACTTTTCTAGTCCCTATTTAAGTCTCTATTGGAAAGCACATTTTATATCAGCTGTCATCTTCACTGTGGTGAAGGTAATTGCTTTCTTGTCCTTCCTTCCCCAAACACAGGTACTGAACATGTGAGAAAAGTGAATAATCTTCTGTACATTATATATAATTTTGAACATCTCAATATTGATTCACATTTTTACTCTGTGACTGTTGTTGAAATTGCAGTATTCCAAATGTATGAAATTGAGCTTATGAGGGTTGGAAATCAAATGATCTTTGATGTCAGTATTTAGAAGTATATACTTAATGAACAACGGTGTTGAAAGACAGAAGAAAAAGAATGTTTTGGCCCTCACATACTGAAAACTTAGTGGACCAAACAAGGGAAATAAAACTTTGCGTAGTGTTCACATCATCACTATGGACAAGTGCTCTCTACAGGATTCTGATCTAGTAATCTAGCTCCTAATAGCTCTTTAGGAGAGCAGAATACAGAAATGTTCAATATTCTGGGTATCACAAGTCACACATTATTTCTCAGTGCTATGTGGTAGGTGCATTAGATGGAGAAAATAGTTTTTATCCCACTTCCCCATTCTTCTGCTTCACTGTGCTTAACCAGATGACCCACCAATGCTGTAATCTGCACCACAGATGTAGTCGGCTTCATCCTCAGGACTGATGTTGGAGATGGTCAAGTAGCGGTCAGTCCCAGAGCTGGAGCCTGAGAAGCGGTCAGGAATTCCATTCCCCTTATTGAAGGTGCCATCACTCTTAACCCACATCACATACTGAGGATCCTTCCCTGGGTACTGCTGGAACCATGCAATGCCATAGGTTTTGTATTCGCTGTTCAGGGAGCAGGTGAGCTTGGCCGAGGCCCCGAGGGAGGCAGATGCAGAGGGTGACTGAGTCAGCACAAGCTGGGACAGAGACCCTGAAAATACAGAAGTGCATTATGTCATGAAGAAAGGAAATGAGAAGAGAATATTATAAGAGTGAGTCTGAAAGGCAGATTCAGTAAGATGAAGAAATCATATACTGTTCTGACCTCTACAGTGAAGGATGACAAGGAGGATGAGTGGGGTCAAGGCCATGGTGCAGACACAGAGATGTGCTGAAGCGTGTGCACTGCAGGACTCTCTTATACACCCTCAGTCCCAAGAGGAGACAGAGTTCTCTGTATGCAAATTAGTTTTTCTTACCCTAGGCCTATTGACTACCACTGTCTGTGTGTTGTTTCTGGGAGGGAGGCAGAAGCTACATTGAGCTTGGACTGAAATATGTGGGACACTGCAAGAACTCAGCAGGTGGCCCAAAGGATCCTCTGTCAAGACCAGGATGCAAGTGTCTGTTTTCCTATTTGAGATCCCCACAGATCCACAGAAGCAGGAATACAGTGTTTCCCGATGGGCTGGTTCAGGTCCATTTTGTCTGTGAGTAGAAGACTGACGACTCCTGCTCTGACCATGACCTTAGCTACTTCCTGCCTGTGCTCTAGGACAGAGTGAAGCCTCTGCTCAGGGCAGCACCCTGCCTAGTCTTGATCTTGGCTTTCTACTTGAGCCTTGTCATTGGGAACAGCCTACTCTTTCAAGAGTTCTCTAGCAAGGTGTGCCTCTTATAAAGCATTCTCTTGGAATAACAGTTCAATTAGCTGACCGTACAGCTCATAAATTAACTCTACTCTCACACTGTACCTGATACCACCCCATTCCCCATTAATCCTCTCTTTATCTTTGGTTCCTGAAGAGCTTGGCCCATAGGTGCATATTGGCAAGTTTTAGAAGGATCAATGAGCATGCTGTGGTTCACTGGATTCATTAGAAATGGGGATAAATCAGAAAATACACAGAAAAGGTACTGCACTGGTCAGGTTTCCCATCACTAGGAGCAAATACCTAATACTTGTTAATTAAAGGCAAGGTTTATTTTGGATCACATATGCAGGGGTTCCAGCTCATGGGCAGCTGGCTTTAAGGCAGAACTCTCACTGTGCAGGGCCATGGAGAGGAAAGCGGTTGACTCTACAGTGGCCAGAAGTGGAGCACAGTGAAGATCACCAGAAAGGATGGGCCGGGAGCAAGTTTTGTTCCACAGGGTCACACTTCCCTGACCCACTCAGATGCCTCCAAAGGTGGCCTTTACTACCCCACCCCCAGCCAACACTCTCAGTCTAATTAATGTATTAAAATAAAAAATGTCACCTTGGGATATTTAGGAAAGGAAGATATTAGAGAGGTTCACAAAGAGGAGTCACTGAATATTAACTGCAAAAAAAAAAAATCTCAGGTACATTTCCCACAGTTTACAATGTCCTCAGGTGATTTCTATGCACATTAAATCTGAAGATTACTGGTCTAATACATGTCTGAAGACACTGGTGTGGCTCCCCTATAAGCAGTTTCACATGGATCAGTGTATTTCACTTTTAAATGCTGCTGAGAATTAACCATTTTTTCTGTTTATTATATTCCAGTTTTAATGCATGCAGGGCTTATCCCTGCAAATGGTAGAATCTCTCAGTACTCATCAATATAAAAATGTTCAAAACTATTTAAATAAGATCTCCACACACTCACTTTTCACATATTGATGGTAGTGAATAATTGGAAGGTTTAAAAGTTGTGGCAGGTGTATATTTGTGCACCCTAAAACAGAAAATTTCTTTATTATTTATTTATTCACTTTGATGTTATTGGTAGAGGATCTCATTGCACAGCTCAGACTCATAGCGACCTCCTGTTTTCAGCCTCCCCAATGCTGGATTATAGGCGTGCACCATCACACTCTGTCTAAGTGGCCTGCTCAGCGTGCCTGGGGGCACGGCCAGCAAAGTCTATGGTGACAGGGATCTAACCACGGCCTCAAATGAAAAAAATCATGCCTATCTTTTGTCTTTTGACCCAAACATGAAGAAGAATCAATGGAGACACTTTCCTACACCTTTCTCTCTATGGACAATCAACAAGAGCCTGTTGGATTATTGGTTATCAAGTCGTATGATTTCTCTTTGTATTAATGATTGGTCACACTTTTGTTTGTATCTTGACTCCCCATCTGGTCTTCCTGTATTGCACATTACTGTCAGACAGCACATGATAGTGCTGAGCTTCATTCCGATTTTGCACCACCAAAACATCAGACCAGTTTTGTCATAGGAGGAAACCTGAGGCTCTGACAGGTAATAAACAACACCTAATGCCTGTGTCAACATTCATTCTCAGGGATGTTTGGCCAGTATTTTTTTTTCTGGAACAATATGGTACATGACCAACAGTGATTCCTACAAAGCAGCAGCCACAGATGAAAATGACAGGTAGGATTGTGAAGGATCTGGAGTCACAATCGCCTGAGAACTGGACCTGAAAATATAAATCAGCACAAGTCAGTGATGAGAAATGGGATGAAAGTGTTGCTCTAATGGCAGGTGAGCGAAACCTACATGAACCTGGGCAGAGAGTGAGGAGAGATAGAGGGTGGAACAGACAGGAGTAGGCAATAATGTGGACTTTCCAAGTATTTCTGTGAACCTGAAGCTGGTGCTGACTCTAGGGTGATCCTTTAATGCCCCCCTCAGTTTTTATGGTCAATTGTTTTGTTGTTGTTTGTTTGTTTGTTTCTTGT